CCCTGGATGTGCATCCCACAAATCTCCATCAACTGCAAGATGCTATCCTATCAATATGGGCCAACATTTCTAAAGAATGCTTTCAGCACCTCGTTGAATCAATGCCACGTAGAATTAAGGCGGTTCTGAAGGCGAAAGGGGGTCAAACACCGTATTAGTATGGTGTTCCTAATAATCCTTTAGGTGAGTGTATATACAGGGAAGAGCAAATTTTGGGGTCAGAACACAGAGCTAGCCAGCATCCCTTGAGCAGGGATTACTCTGCAAACCACAGGATTTGAACCCACAGCCTTCTGGACACATACACAGAGCTTTAACCTGCTGAGCTACACACCACTCTATGTGTTGATTGTCATATACATCTTCTTACTGGGGCTGAAGGCCAGGGACATTTGCTACAAGGGGCCTCAAACAGTCTCATTTAATACAAGTTAAAACCCAGAGTTGCCATCTGTCCCGTATTTTCCATGATCTTCTTGTATTGAAAACACTGGCATCTGGTTGAGGGCTTCACCTACCCCATGCCCCCTGATGGACTGGCATCAGGTTGAGGGCATCACCTACCCCGTGCCCCATGATGGACTGGCATCTGGTTCAGGGTGCTTGTATGTGCCATTGATATGTTTTATCTCCATAACATTTGTCGTATAGTATCTTTTAAAAGTCTCCTATAAAATACTATTAGAGATTGTTCCTGAAATAATCTCTAACATACAGTTTCTGTTATATGTTTTTTCCATTCCGTAATTACTACTCAACAATATTAATGAAATGTGCCACAGGATCTGTCAAACCACTCATATCGAACTGAATATTTTACTTCGTCTAAACCAGTATCACTGAAATCCTGGGAACCTTCAGAGGCATCACTAACGAATAAGAAGGGTGACACAGTCAAGGAAGTGCCCCGTGCACATCACACAAACGTCACGCTTTTCGTAATAAAACAATATAACCCCCTCGCTTGTTTGTTTTATGCTTATCTGTATAAAGACCAGTCGCTTCAGTGGAGTCCATCCATCGCCGAGCACAGGGAAGCGCTTCAGCTTATCAGTGTCCCCCTAAGCGCTTCAAATGGTACATGCGGGATCGTAAAGTACTGCTGTCACTTTCAGTTCCCGTTAAAGAACCGGCCGGTTTCTCATACAGTGTCTGATCTATCGGTGTGATTCGGAGGACCGTGGTCCTGTAAGCAGCAGCGCGGTATCCAGCTCCTACTGGGCTCTTTATCCCACACATTCAGACGCAGTGTACACTGTAGCAGACGGGCTGGGGTCGGCGTCACATTGCTACATGTGTCCGGGGGGGGGGAGGTGGCAGGTACTTAGGGGAAGAGCTGAGCGGCACCGGCGTGGCGGAGGAGAGGAACCGTAAGAGTAAAGCGCCGGCTTTGCTCGGATCGGTGTGAGAGAGAAAAATGCCTCCTGTCCCGAAAACCTTGTCGGATCTCCGCTCCCGAGTGGAAGGTAGGCAGAAGCAGACACGGCGCCCTGATTGTTCATTTTAAAGTCAGAATAATGGTCCCTGCATGGCACCGGGCATGAGGACATGTGCTGCTCGGTGAATCCGCATTCCTATACGTATATATATTTCATGATGTTGGTCAGTCCAGCCGGCCGTCTTTTAAGTATGTAAGGGCGTGATCAAATATGACATATTTTTGAAAATGAGGGAGGGGAAAAAAAGTTGTGTTATTTGGCTCCTCTTTTATGTTACAGTTTTATTTTATATACACAGGGTGCGTGTGGATGAATGATGTGCAAGCAGCTCTATCCTTTCTGTTTGCCAGTCAATCAGAGTTAATCGGTTATTATTATTATTATTATTATTATTATTATTATTATTATTATTATTATTACACTACCAACAGGACTCCTGCAGTGAAGATGTGAGGAGGAGTCGTGTATTATTAAATGCGTTGTGATTTTCACAGCGGATGGAAAGGGGACCTGTTACTTTTTAGTTTTTGGGAGCCTCATGAAACGTAATCGTACGACATTTGGTTTCCTATCACGGGATTTAATCGAAGAGACCGAAACTACTTCGGATGTGCTCTTGATACTGTTTGCCCCGCTGATCTCTTGCTGAAAAAATCGCTGAGAAGATGCAGCGCAACAGACATCCTTCGCATTTCATTGCTGTTGATGTTTTCGTTATATGAATTAAGAGAGTAAATAGCCTAATGATCGCAATTTTTGAGTTCGTATGGTTACTGACCCCGGATGCAATGATCGTAAACGCCTCCTTCCCACAGCCTTAGCTGCGTAGATGTGCTGATTAAGAAACAGCAGGACTTCGTTGTGAGAGAGAGAGAGTCTTTGTTTCTGCTGTCAGGTATATGTTATTCTCTGCATGGTCTGCAGAACTGCGCAATGAAGTAAATTTGTTTTCTGTGTAGCTGAAACAATACTCAATACTTATTTTTCTCTTCGACAAATAGGAACTGATTTTTGTTCTATTTTAATACGATATACCCGCACCATCGAGTGACACTGCGATAATCAAGAGGTTAAGAGAGTATGTTCATCTCCAAGTAGGCACTCATGAGGAATCGGCAGAGATACAGTACTACTTTTTTGTCAAATGATGCTTAGGCAAAATGTAAAAGTCATAGGGGGTCAGGTTCGCTTTGAGACCAACAGTTTGAATTCTAGTTATGTTTGAGGTGCTTGTGCCAGGTATTTTAGATTCTTTTAGTCTTCACTTGAATGTGATTGGTTCTTTACATCACATCTGCTGCTGTACATCAAGCACCAATCCAGTCTAACACTGTATCATTTCAAACTTCAAGTCCTACCATTAAAATATGTTGCTTAAATAGGTTCATGTTTGCAAGACCCCTTTCAGTGTTACAGCTATTAGTGTTACAACTTCCCTTTCAAAGCCGTGGTGTACGTTGTGTCGGAGTTGCAGTGGAATCGTCTGTGCTGTACCATCTCCCGTCACAGATAGGATCCTCTTCTGCCATAGCGGCACTTTTCCGAACATGGGGACCAGCATGACACGTGGAAAAGGAAAAGACGAAATACAGACGTTTCCAGTCTCTGTTTGCAGACGGACACTGAGTGGACACTCTTACCTTCCTGAGCTTTGAACCCTCACTGTTTAAATGGTAATCGGTGTAGGCCTGCCCTACGAATCTCTTGATATGTTTTGTTGTTGCATTTAGTGTAATAATACTTTTTACAATTCATTGTTGAGTTGACGCAGACTGGAGCAAGGTTAACACGAAATAACAGTCCACATAAAGTGTATAGAAGGACAGGACAGGTGCAGAGAAGGGGAAGGAAAAAAACAATTAACAACATTGACACATGATGTAAAAGTAAACAGCGATGGACTTTAAACGGCTCGTAATGTGACATTTTTGCCGTCAAAATTCGCAGGAAACTTGGCCTAATTACCATCAGGAAAACTTTAGTTTTTGTTAAATGCTTCCTAAAGTTATAGATGTCTCTGCCTTTTATAGCACTGACTGCACTTTGTAAGGAAATAGGGGTAACATTGAATTGAATGTGTTGCCCTCACATGGGACACAGAACCTCCAGCCGAGTGAGGAGGATTACCTCGTAAAGATGTCTCGGTGTAAGCTAGAGATGTCGTTTCTCCAGCATTACAGATGTGGTCCTCCCACCTTCCAGGGTGAGATCTCCTCTTTCTGACCTGTGCTGTATCTCTCCACTCTGTCCTGCAGCTCAAGATCTTCCAGGGAGGCCCTTAAGTTGCTGGATCACTTGCTGTGCTTTGTGTGGTGCGGCTGGGTAGATGTGTCATATGATATGTCGGGTGTCCCGTGTTTGGGAGCAGAACGCAGGTGTGGCGAGGTGTTCATGTAGCGTGTGAGTGTTATAAAAGTATAGGGGAAGACAGGTGTGGGATAGAGGACACAGCCGCTTTGGCCGTGCAGACTGACAGTGTTCTTCTCTGTTGTCGGAACTTCTTCTGCCCTAGAGTCCAAGGCCTTGGTAACTGTTGCCGACTGTCGGCATCGTGGAGATCGCCATCTCGTTTTGCAGAGAGTCGGAAAGGTAGCACGCTGTCTATACTTGACTTTATTCATCAGTAGCCTTGAGGGAGCACCGAGTGGAAAACATATAACACAAACAAAAAAAAAGCACAAGTAAGAATTCCGCATGTCATAATTTCCCGTGGATGAATATGTCTTCTGACGAGGGCATCCAGTGTCGTTTTGTTTTCAAAGAATAACAACTGGATTTCAAGGCTTAGTCACTCACAACAGGAGCAAGTTACTGTCCTCTAGGGAAGGTTCTCTTATCTAAGTTAATCTCGTCTTATATTACACACATTATGAACGATTAAAAACTGTAATAATATGACAAAGACACAAAACACCACAGAACAGGTCATTATTATGAATTTTCAACCCAGCTGGAAAGTATGTAAAATGATGACATGTGCATTCCTTAATCGGATACATGTCGCGACCGCTTTCAGAAATAGCTGTCTCTCTCCTGGATGCTACACCCTCAAACTTTGACCCCTGAGATACAATGAGCTTGCAGTGGGAAAACTGGGCTGTATATAGCCGGCAGACCTCACACACAGCTTCCACACAGCAACAACAGGAACTGGTTGTGGAAATAGCTGGGAGCAGAGGGCAGCTAGACCTGGGAATGTTGGGGTGGTGGTGGAACATTTTGGTAACACAAGTGACTGGAAAACCCTGAGCGCGGTTGTTTCATCTGTCAACCTGTGCAGCTCTAGGCTGTCCTGGGTTTTTATTTTATGTAAACAGAGGATATCTTCAGCTTTTCTTTTAGTGTTTCTCTGTCCTGAATTGTTAATTGAAATGAATCTCAAACATAATTAAGCCTGTATGTCATAATTGAAACCTATCATTAGCCTTCTTGATGACCCCAAATCTCAGTAAACACCTAGTTGACCCATGTGGATGGCTGGTATCATGCTTGCTTGTGGCTCTATCATGGCTGGTATCATGCTTGCTTGTGGCTCTATCATGGCTGGTATCATGCTTGCTTGTGGCTCTGTTGGTAATTTTATTTGCTGCCTTCTAATTAACAATCTTTGGCTATGTGCTTCAAGAACACTTGAACCCTTGCTGAAGAACCCTCCACTGTAACTGTACTCTCACCACAGTATCTAAGTTATGCAGGGGGGGATCCGTCATCCTCTCCTGGGGGATGGGGGGTGTATGTCTTTGTGGAACTCGACAGACCCTGCTGGGCTGAAGATGCAATGTAGTATACCTGACTCATACTTGACTCAGACTGAAGGTGATGCATTATGGGAATTTCTAGAATCCCCCTTTTTCAGGCCGTGACAAGGCCGTCCCTCTGACCTATGCCATCTCCTTTGAAGAAAGAGCTGCTGTTACGTTACTGATTTTTAAACAAACCATGACTGGTAAGAAATGTACTTTAGAAGAAGTGCTTCTTGGTTATTTATATTGGCTGCCAGCTCACTTCTCTTCTAATTTCTGCCAGGTTTATGTGCCTGTGTGGTGGTTAATTTTAGCAGGTTTTATATGTTGTGTGACATGTGCTCGTGTGGCATGGATGAGTGACATCTCTCTGCTTCTTTTTCTTCCTGCTGAAGGGGGGCAGGTCAGCCCTGCTGGCTTTCGACCTCCAGGTTGATCGATGCTATTGATTTTCTTAAAAAGTCACACAGTTTCATTATCGTTCATTTGATACTACTCTGCCATTGCACTCTTTAGCCCACCGCTTTCGTTTCCTTTCCCCTAACATGTGATCGCATTTTCTGCATAAAATTACAGCTGACAGGCCTGTCCAAGGCAGACAACGTAAGCCATTTTTTACAGCTCTGATGTTGTTAGGAAGGGAAATAATTTATTGAAACTGTGACCACTGACTTGGGCTGGAGTGATGTAATGGCTGGCCGATGAAATCGACCAATATTAATCTCACCTCAATTTATCAACGTAAGCAGAAAAACCCGCAGATAAAACACAGATAAACGTTCTTGATGAGAAAATGAGCTCTTTCTCTAGAGAAAAATCAGAATAGCTGTACTTCCTGAATTGTAACTTAACACCTTTAGCTTTCGATTACGGTTCAGTGTGGGGTTGAGCCCTAGCAGGATGTGTGTTTTGTTTACATATTAGGGCTGAAAACGCAATGTAGAATGGGAGTGCATGTGATGCATTATGGGAATTTCTGGAATTCCCCTTTTTCAGGCCTTGACCAGAAACACTTGTATTGTCAGTTTTCTTTGCAGTAGTGAATAAAATGGTGTAGGATGTAATATTTTAATTCTTCTGAAATGTTCAGCTTTCAGTATTTAATACAGTGCTTAATTGTGTACACATCATTTGATGCTTCCAGTGCACATTAACGATCACAGTGGTGATCAGCCTGGTTGGGTCACTAGTGTGGTCTCTTGGAGATTGAGATTTTTCATGTTTTTGGTTTGATTGGGGACACACACACATGATCAGTCTGTATTTGATGGCGCTGCCTGTCCT